GGCAGCTGCGCCGCCAGGGGCCGCTGCGGCACCGCGCCCGGCCCGCCCGCGGCACACGCGCACACACACACACGTAGGCACACAAATGCTCACATGCACACGTGCACATGCACACCCACCCATGTACAGGCACACCTACCCATGTGCACACTCACACAGACGTGCATAGTAACAAGTGCACAGCTGCGTAGGGACAAGTGTGGCACATGGGCCTGAACTGTCCAACACACGTGCACATGCATGCACGTTCATGCACATACACACACGCTCGTGTGCACAATTACATAGTGACAGGTGTGACACATGGGTGTGAAGTGTTAAACACACATGCACTCCCAGCCATGCTCATGTGCACACCTACACACACAGATGCATGCACACACGCATGCGCATACAGATGAACACACACACACACGTACGGGCACGTTTCGCCAGCTGAGCAGGGGCCGGCCGTGGGCTCAGTGGCTGAAGGCCCCGTTGCTCTGCCGGCGTCTTTCCCAGGCGGAGCTCAGACAGGGACAGCGCCTGCCCTGCCCTGCCCTGCCCTGCCCTGCCCTGCGTGCCCGGCCGGCTGCAGCCTGGTCCCCACAGCGCATGGCTCCCTGGGGTGGCCTTGGCCGCCCTCCCCACCCACAGCCTGGCCAGCAGACAGGAGCCGCACCTGCCCTCCCAGGGGCTGCTGCAGACCCAGGGATTGAGGCGCCGTCCTGCTCAGCTGCCCGCAGAGCTGAGTGGAGGCCGGGCAGGGGTTCCCCGTCAGCACAGACCTGCAGCCCTAGGAAACTTGCAGGCGTGGAGCCCTCGAAGCAGAGGAGGATGCGCATCCTCCAGCAGCAGCTGCCAGGGTGACCCCCTCGCCTGTCGGCCCATGCGCAGCTGCCTGCAGCTCTTTTTAATGACACTTCGACCCTGTCAAGACTGAAACTCAAGAGAATCTGCCACTGGGAAGAACTGCCAAGAGACCTGGGGGGATTTCCATCACTCTGACTCGTTCCTGAACATGGTGCCTGTGAGCAGAGGCTGATCCAGCTGAGCCAGAGAGGGTGCAGGGTGGCTTCAGATACTGGGTCCCTTTCAACACGTGTTGTTTGTCGTGTGCAAACCAACGTGCTCAAGTCGACTCTAAACTTTTGGGCATCCGTTAGCAACATCCTCAGGATCTGTGCCTGAAGGAGTGCATTTTCATGACCTAGACCTTGAGTGCATTACAAACGTACAGCGCCAAGCACAGCAGACCCTGGCTCCTGACCCAGGCAGTACCATATAGGACGCAGGGGACCTGGAGAAGAGCTCTGCCAGCTGGGAGGCAGCTAGACCCGGCGACTTAGAGCTGTCCTCTCTCTTCCTTCCATGGGACTCGAGGTGTGAGAAAGGCCGTACATAATCGATTCGGGACACCTTCTCACAAGGGTCCATTAGCAAAACAAAACTGTCCTGGTGGCTTGGAGCGGGTAACTCTGGGAGGCAGAGAGCTGATCCGGGCTGCCTGGGTGCGGTGATTTAAGAGAAAGCTCCCAGCATGTGGCTGAAAGTGAAAGCCTTGGGTACGGTCCAGCCCCTTCCCCGCCAGACAGGGACTCTTTGAATGGACGTTCACCGCAGCCGTTATAATGGGTCCGATCAGGACAGGAGAGAGGGGAATTAATAAACAACCTGACCTGCTCTTTTGCAGAGCCGACTTGCGAGGCATCTCTCTTTATGCATCTTGGGCCAGAGCCAAGCCTCCCTCACGGTGCCGTGCGCGTGTTGGCCAGGTCCAGCATCTCAGCTGCACCCAGAGAACAATCTGGCTTAATCCTTGTGCCCCTGCTCCACGCTGTTGCTCAGGTGTGCCAGGGCATGGTGCCAAGCACGTCTGCTCATCCGCCAGATATGTATTTGCTGTTATGCTCTGGTCCTTTCTTCAGTTTTCCTTTCCAGGGTCATGGGTGCAGCTGGCCCCTAGTCTTGGGTTCCTCCACACTTACAAGCCTCCCTTCCACATCTCCCCTTCCATGTGTAGCCAAGGGAAGAAGGCAAGTGGCATAACCTGTCTGAGTCAGGCCAGCTGCTCCAACACGATGGCGACAAGCCACAAATGAACATGAGCAGCGTGGCTTAATACATTCATCCTTGTGCTAGAGCAGCCCCAGACCTTCACGCTCCAATGAGCAGTGCCCTTCAAGGCCAACATATCTGTTATTATATTTCTTCAATACTTTGGTTAAAAATTACACTCCTTCCCCACCGGCAGCCAGCACAGGGACGCACCAGCCAGCGACTGCTTCTCTGGTTGCATCTGGCAGCTCTTCTGACTCCAACATCCCAGGCGTGGACTTCTGGGCAAGGAGGTGACAACCACCCTTGTACCTGCCGCCCCCGGCAGTGCAGGGAGATGGGCCGCTCCTGAGCCCTTCTGTGCAAACCCAGCAGCTCATGCTCCTTTGGGGTCTTCTGCTAACCGTGCAGTCCACGTGCAATAGAGGTACATCACCTCAGATGAATTGCAATGGGGGAAGTGAAGGAGGGTTTGTCAGGGGAGATTGCAGGGGTGCAAGGGACTCTGCCAGAGACCAGCTGGGCAGACACATGGCAGTTCCTGCCCCTGAAGCCAGGATGACCATGGATGGGAGGAGCAGGTTCTCGAGGCAGCCAGGAGCAGCAGTCACAGCTCACCGCCTCGACCCATGTGGGCTTGGAGGTGCCCCAAAGAGGGGGAGCTAAGTGCTCTGCAGGGCTGAGCAGGGGCTCTTCCCTTCACCTGTGCCAACCTGGGGGTCCCAGGGCTCTGCACCTGCCAGTCGTCTCTGCGACCGTCGCTCAGGGACTGCCCAGAGCTCTCTGGGGTCTTGCAGCAGAAACAGCCCCGAGGACGCCCTGAATGAGAAGGCATCTCTGGCTGTGAGCAGGACATGTGCCAGCAGGGTCCCTTGGGGGGATCTGTGGGGCTAGGACAGTCCTGGTGATGCTGGCCGCTGATGCTCATGCAGACCCTGTAGTGGCACGAGCTGTTTTCAGCTGCAGCATCACCGCACTGCCGTCCCAGGTGAGCAAAATGGGCTTCTGGTTTTGCTGACCCTTGGCAATGTGCATCTGCTCACGGGCAGGGCTGCATGCGCAAATGAAGGACATCCCCTCCGGCAGGGCAGAGCCCTCCAGCACTGCGCTTGGCTTATACCCACCCAGCCCACCCAGCACCCCCCTGGTCCCTTCCAGGGCTGCGTGTGCCTTTCCCCTGACGGCAGCTAGAGCAGATGGCACCAACTCTGGGCAGCAGATGGAGGGTGAGCCGACTGCCCGGACATGGCAGGGAACCAGCCAGCTTCCATGCCCATGTTGGACAGGCCGGCTCTCGTCCCAGGTTATTGTGCCTTAGAACAAAACCGGTGCTTCAGTTCTCTATGCAAATCCTCATGATCATTTAGCAACAGCAGCTTAGTTCAGAAGCCAAGGACCCTGCGCATTTGGCCTGAAGCAAACATTGTTCTTTGCAGCCAGCTTGTCCTCTGTTCCCCC